CCAGGGTTTGCTGCCCTAAAACACTCTGTTCAGGCCACCTTGAAAATGAAGGTCTGCGGAGCGAGAGCAAAGGAGTTTCCACCTCCTCGCTTCCCAGTCTTCCCAGGGTTCATATAGGGAGCACGGCCATTTTCAGAATCTTCTGGAGTTGAGCTGTTCGAGTTCCTATTGAAGGGTATATGTCACATTCAAGCAGCAGAAGGACAACATGCATCCTCTGCTCTCGCTTCGCAGACCGTCATTTTGAAGGTGGCCTGAACAGAGTGTTTTAGGGCAGCAAACCCTGGTCTCAGGCCACCTTGAATTTAGCTTGAAAAACTGTTTGTTTGAACAAAAGGGTGCATTGTTTTTGTTTTGACATGGTTACCTATGTGTGGGCAGAACAAGACATGAAGCAGATTTGACACGCGGCCGCAAGCGGCTGCGCAAGCTCATTTGATTGCTTCGACGCGCAGTTGTCGAGAAAGAGAAGCGCTGGCTTTCGTTTTGCAGCTTCTCAGGTTTTTAATACTTTTAAACTATATTTTTTGATTAAGAGTCTACATCATGTGTATATGGTTTCTTATGCCTTGGGGTGTGCTTTTGTGGGGGCTGTTGGGTGTGACCCCGTGCCCGGTGCTGGACCTTTTTTTGCCGCAAAACCCGCGAGGTCAAGTTCCGGGATGCAATTGAAATAGATCATTCAAACGATTCAATGACACTCACATGTTCTTTTTCTTTGGCCCTTCATAGGCCCCACAACCTTTGGCCACGTCTTTCTGAGGCCACAATTGACCACGATGGACGCGCCAAAGAGGAGTATTTTGCTCCAGTTTCTTGGGCACCGTTTGGTCGGGCGGCGGCGCAGAGGTCTCACGGGCCTGTACGGGTGTCTCGGGTTGTGTCCCGCAGTGAAGAAACACGACACATCTACCTAGGACAGAGCGTATGGTTCTTGTGCTGTTTGATGTACCCAATTGGACACCAGGGTTTTCGGATAGAACATGATAGAAACGTTCCTTCAAGCAACTGCCCAGTGGAGGGAGGAATCCTTCAACTCATGTTCCGAAGAAAAAGGCAGGTTCCTTCCTTCACCCCACAGCCTGGAGAATCAGTGCCATTGGTACCTGACCTGACCTCTCCCGGTCCTGCTCTCTTTGTGATTGGATGGTCCAGGGGGTTCACTTATATAGCTGGCAACCCGTTGCTTCCAAAGAGGAAACCATGCGCCCCACACACACAGCAAAGACCTGGTTTTCCGAAAAACAAACTGATTTATATACAGTTACAGTAATGTGTATGACTTACAGGATGTGATAGGATACGTTTGTTTGGAGGGCTACTGCCCCCCCCTAAAAGACAAAACACCCGTACTATATTATATCATTCTTCGGAACATTTCGGAACTCTTGGCCAGTCTCTATATACACCACGACTTGGGATTTGAGCCAAGAACAAACTGTTTGCCACACTTGGCTGGTTGTATAGGGATTAAAAGGCATGCAACAACAACAAACACAAAAAATTGGACGATTGACGATTGTAAGGATTTTTCTTCAACCAGATGTTCTGTGTGTTTGTGTTTCTTGTTTCCTAGGCGGCCGGTCAGGACACATATGTTCGAATTCACATCGCCTTTAGGTGACCAAAGAGAACGTCACAAAACTGGCGCCTTGGTGGCAAGCAGTGCGGTCCGTGTCGGGCCCTGCCGGTCATCCGGTCCGTGTCGGGCCCTTCCATGGTGCTTAAAACGAAGCAAGGCGAGACTCCAAGCAAGCAAGAAGGACCTTTATAGGCTGTTTGGTCCCAAGCAGGCCGCAAGGGTCTGGCCCAACCGAAAAGGCATGAGATGGCATGTGTCGGAGCTGGATAGCATGACATGGTGCCAATGCTTTTCAATGTCAGGATCCATTTGGGATCCGACTCTCACACGACCAGTCACACCTTTTAGTTGGACCTGTTCAGCCACCGCACCTCACTGGCACAGCACTGGGAGTCCCGCGGTGGGGCACGGTGACCTGAGAAGATCCATTGACCTGGGTTCTTCATTTCGTGACCTTTTCATCCCCGGTCCGTGGTCACAAACAGACCGTCTTGACAAACAGAGGCTCAACCAGGTCACTATTCAAAGAGCCTGGTGGATGAGTCCTTTTGTATATAGGGGATATGCATGGATATGCTATGCTGTTGTTGTTTTTTTCTCTCGGGTTCCTGGCACAGCAAATCCAAGTACTTGTCATATTTCTCATAGTGTCCACATGGCGTGGCTTTTTCGACCGCCTTTTCGCGCTCGAGCGTGGCTTTTTCAGGTGCAGCAATCCAAAGATGTCGATGCCATCGTGGCCTCTTGGAGGGAAAGCTGGATGGCGGATGTTCCATCATAGGGTTCCCATTTCAAACTTGGGTCATACCTGGACCCTCCAAGGGGTGTCCAATGGACTACCTCACACTACCTATAGGCTTCCATTGAGCACCCCTGGAGGGTCCTGGTATATGACATATTATGATGCCACCCAGGTAACCATGATGATTCCAAGCCCTGCAGTGATCCAGTCGTACCTTCTCAGGTACGGTGATTGAAGACTATTTATGTAGATGCCAGCAGGGCGCAGCCATACCTTCTGAGAAGCTATGTGGATCCCTAAAAATGTATGTCTTGGTGGTGTCCCATTACCTGCAACAGTCGGTAAGCAATTCACTATAACAAGAGAAAGGTCTTGTCTAACCTTCGTCATTCACTGTTGCAGGGAATGGGACTTATGTGCCCCATTATACTATTATATTACTCACCCTACTCTATTGACATATATGACCCGAAAATAAACACGTTTTGAACTCCGGGGTAGAGCAGGAGTCTCAGTTCGCATCTCAGAAAATAATGGGTATATAAGATGGTACAAGAGCAGAGTACATATGGTACAAGGGCCATGTCCCATTTTCTGATGTACTTGAAGTCGGGTCCAGGTATGTAGACATTGACAAAATACCAGCAGCCTCGGTGCCATGTTCACCATTTGCCACTTTGTTTCAGTATCCATTTCATTCACGCTTCCTTCGACGCTCGGCTCCCGCCTCCGCCCGAGGTCGGCTGGGATCAACAGTTGACTGCTTTGAAGGTGGCCTGGCTTTGTGCGGATCGGAGGAGGAGGCCTTTCTATTGTTCAAAAGCTTTGTGAATGTGAATGAGCACCCTTCATGGGGAAGAACACATCAAAAACTGGGTGAATGTGGATTGACACGAATACCCTGAATGAGGAAGATGTTCTGCCTTGAGTCTCCAAAGACCTTTTTCTTCAGCGTTACTGTTTTTGGTCTAATTGTTTGTGCTTTTGTGCGAAAAACGCATTTTCAGAGATGAGGACTCAAAAAAGGGTATACAGTGTGAATCTTCATCCGGACGCGTGACGCCTTTTGGACGCAAAAAGGTCCCAGGACGCTGTCCAAGGAGGATCTGATAGGGCCCCAAACCAAAAAAGGAACATGTTTTGCGAAATATGCCAACAAAAATAAGCGTTTTCTTTCAGAAACCTCTTATTTTCTTGGAAAGGCACCTTTAAAAGGGTCCATTGGAGAAACCAGGTATACGAGGAATGTGAAGACCCTTCGGCGCTGGCCGCCAATGCCAGGTGGCCGTTGCAGCGGCCTTCCTCAAGTGGAGCCGTGCGGCTCGGCGGACACGATCAGTTGGGGTGAAGGTGAATGGACCAAGAGAGGTCTCCAGTGACCGTGGACCATAGGACCCGGAAAACCGGTTCATACCGGTTCCTGGGACAGCCGAACTGTCGGGTTCTGACCCACCTCTGCTGGTGGAGCCCTTCTGCTTCCTAAGCTTCTGTGAAGTGCCCTGATTTGACCAAAGGCTATAGGGCAACCCACCGAAGGAAGAGACCCTGGGTGACCAGCCGGCGAAGCGACCGTGATTGGTCCGCTCAAGTCGCGAAGCTGTGGCAAGTCCCGTTGGACAGGTCGGCCCCTGGTGCGTCAACGCACCACCAAGGTGTACTATGGGAAGGTCTCAATTCACTACATACTCATCCGTCCCCCAAGGGTGGGCAGCCCACCGTTCCGAACCGTTCGGAAGGTTTTGAGCCGAACAGTCTGCCGAAACCGTTCGGACCTGGGAACTGCGAGAGGTCCCCTCAGCTTGGGTCAGGTCCTCTTGAGGTTCTTTTGGACCACCCTAGAGCTCCACCCGAAGCCCAGGCCGGTCAAAACGCCATGCAGATTGTGTCACTTGGCCGTGCGGGTCATGGGGTCGATGGCGGGTCATGGGGTCGATGGAGGGAGCCCCCGACCTGGCGGTTTCACCATCTTTCACCCTAAACCCCAACAAGGTGACCATGGGATTCGACCCACATTGACCCCTTAAGCATTTTGAAAGCTCCCATCCATGTTGGCAAATAGGTTCATCCCATAAGTTTGTTTTTTTCAGCTTCCCAAGATTTCCTATGTTCGTTTGCCTAAACTCTGCCCAGTTCGGTTGCCAGACTCAGCACCGCATGGCAAACACGGCAGCAGAACACGACCGAAACAACACGTGCCGCAGCGAGAGAGAGTTCTGCCGGAGGACGATGCCGCAAGGAACTGAGTCCCAAACACGACCAATGGGACTAGCATATTGACCTACATTCACCTCAGGTCAACCACCCAGGTGTATGTAAATATGGAGTGTTTGGTCGGTAAATAGTCCCATGCATTGACCCCATGGAGTGTTTGGGAGTTGGGTGCCGGGTGTGGGATGACGAAGACGAGGCCATTCGGTCAAACAAGATCCTCATGGAGCTGGGAGGCTTTCCTTCCTCTTCGTGACCCTAGGGTGTAAAGATTCAGTGCATGATGATACATTCAGGATCTATGCTCCTTTCTTTAAATTCCTTAACCCAAACACTCCATGTATGGAATATATGCCTACATTGACCCCTCAAACTCCAACTGATCGGCAGTCCTATGGCAGTCCCATGGAGCATTTGGAGTAGCATTGGATTCAGGATCTATATATGTTCCTTTCTTTATGTTCCTTAATATTCGATTCTATGTGGAACCATGAACGTTCACTCATTTCCTCTTCAAAAAGGACGCCCACCGCGCGCGCATCGCGGCGCAGCGCGCAGAACGAGGCAATGCTCGTCGGACCACGCCGGAGCCGCTCGGCAGCAGCGCTCGTGGTCTTCGATCCAGGTAACTGGACCTGACTTCAAGTACCCTAGAAAATGGATGAAAATGGAACATGACCCTATAAAAACAGGTACTGGTACCATTGTCAATGGGACATGACATGACCCATATATTAAAAAAAACAGGTAAGTACGGTAAGTACTTGTACCCATTTGTCCGAGGTACGAGTTCCGGGTCGACTCCAGGTGTACGATGGTTGGTTGAGAGCCTCGCTTGGTATCCTGGCACCGACGTCTGCCTCACGGTGTTTGTTGGGGTTCCACTAACTCAAAGCATCCAATCTCTTTCAGGCCCCACAGACGTGCCATCGAAACCTTCTTGAGTCACCGAGTTCGACTCCTTTGGAGCCGAGGTGAGGCCAAAAAGTCACCGATCCTGAGCGTTCGGGCTTGGTGGTCCGTTCGGGTGGTTCGTACTTAGACCACGGGTTCGGCTTAGCCCCTTTAGCAACGGACCAGCTGGACAGGCAAGACTTGGGGGATCTTGGCGGGGTGGTTGTTATTTGATTTTACTTCATTGAACCCACTGGTATTGATTGTTCTTGTCCTTCAAGTGAGTTGAAGCCACCAACCAGTACTCATCGTCCACCCGTCCACGAAGTTGGAGGGATGGACTGCCCTATTCCGTCAGATCATCACCTGTAAAGCCATTCTGGGGAAATTGGTGTCTCCACTAAGCAAGGACCGGTGGAAACAGGTTAACCAGTTTTCTTCCCATGGAACATGAAGGGGGTCAGTAACAGAAGAAGGTTTGATTCTTGGAACGGTTCTGCAGTTTGGGTATGTTTGGGTCTAAAACTGCTTGCAGGGTCTAAACATGTCGACTAAGCACCTTATGGAACAGACTCCCAAGCCAGGAGAAAGAAGGTGTTTTCCCCAAACTTGCTGATCGAGCACTGATATACTGGACCCTCCAAAGTTCCTGACCACTGACAACATGGGACATGATCCCATAAAAACGGGTGCGTGTACATATGTACCCATTTTCCGAGGTGCTTTGAGAGTCCAGGTATATGTAGCACAGTTATTTATATATATATATATACACAGTATATCCCAAACTACCCCAAAGACTCCACGTAATATTTGCGTACACCTGGATGGTTGACCTGGGGTGAATGTAGGTAAATATGCCAGTCCCATGGATTGTTTGGGTATACATGGTGGATTTGGCTGGTAGCTACCAAGTCTTAGCTTCGGGCCTTGGGTTTCAAAACCCTGATCCCATCCAATCCCTTGGCAGTTATATGTCTCCACACAGGATGTCCACCCCGTTTCTGACGGAAGTCACAGCTTCTAAGGTCTTGGGAGTGACCTCGGAAGACTTCCTGCCTGGCCGAAATTTCGCCAATCAGAGCATCCCTGCGGCCCCTTGGCTAGCAGATGGTATAGCAGATCGTGGAAGTCCAGTCAGGACTCATTTGTCCAATTTCATCAATTTTTACTCAATGACCAGTGTCAGTGGCTCTCAAACCCATGAAAAAGATGTTTTTTTTTGCGCAGAAACACATGTCTTTTTTTTGGGGGAAACCAGGTCTTGGATGGTTTGTGGGGCCCCTGGTATGTGGTGGACCATGACTGGGTCGAGTCCAAATGACTGCAGGTTTCATGGGGAGACTGGACGAGTTGGTGCGGAGACTGGACGAGTTGGCCGGGGGGTGAGAGAGCTGTTTGCACATGGCTTGTTCCGGTCAGGAGGCTGCATGGACCATGCCAAAACCTCGGCCCCGCCACAGCGAAACACCCTGGCCCTGGAGGTTTCAACGTTCTTCTTGGTTCAGGATCAAGAATTACTCACTTGCTGCCGCGTCTTCTGGATGTTTTTTTTTAATGATCAGCTCGCGCACTATTGTGGTGCATGTGGTATGCCAGCAGCTTAGCTGGCAGCTGGATCTGGATTGACCCTTGCCACCTCATGTTGGTGATGAGCGGATTTGGAGTGATTTGTTGTTCTCCCCCATAGGTGAATCCCCTGGCATGGGACGGGAGTATACCTGGACCCGACTTCAAGTACTCCAGAAAATGGAGCACGAGCCCAAAAAGCAACACATGCATACGACTCTACGAGTGACTATCCATGTTCTACCTCTTTTTTCCTGCAACAACGAACGGGTCAGACTCTGACTGTTAATATATAGCAGGTCTATGATGTGACACCATGTGACACCCCCATCTTCTTCCGGCATTGATCCATGCTGCCCGGCCCGTCTGCGAAGCGCCGCGCTGCGCCGCCGCGATCGATCCAGACCGTCCGAGGTCGGAAATGGCACCATGTGCCAGATGGTTTGCGCCTCCGTGGGCGAAGACATCCAGGCGACGCTGATTCAACGGATCGCCCGGAAAACGGCCCTGCCGGTGGTGAGAGAAGGTTTGTTCGTGTTTGGGATATACCATGTTTGTAAGTATTCATATTGCTGTATAGCTGGATGTGATGCCAAGAAGGGCACACTCTGACGAACACATCACATGGAAGTGGATTGCCAAAATCCCTTGAAGATTAGTTTTACAAACGAGTGCCTTTCCACTTCTATGAGTAAAACCATCCAACACTGGCGGGTTTCAGCCCGCCCTTTACTGGTCCATCCACTCCTTCTATTGTAGACTCTTGATTTGATCAACATCCCAGACATGGATTGGTCAACCTCTTCGTAAACAGTTGGTTTTATTATGTTCTATTATATAACCAAGGGTCTACATCATAAATCATGCTTTTTCCTTGTGGAGGTCTGCCCAGACTGGATCTAGCAGATCCTTCCGCCCAGTGCATCATCTCTATACTGCAACCGGTTTCCCTTTGCTTTCTTCTCTTCCCTGGCGCACCGGTTGGCTGCGAGGCCATCGATGTGGGAAAGCCATCGGAGGTCCTCATCGAAGCGTTGCGTCGTCCGGTCGAGGAGGAGGGCTATGGCCGCTCGGCTGAACACGGCGGGAAAAGGTCGGGTCAGAGGTGGTCTACCTTTTCTACACGCCCAGTCCTATGCAAATCTTCCAGTCGTGGACGTTTCCCAGTTTCCCATGTGTTTTTGGAGTTTCCAGTTTTGGTTCGTTCGTCCAGGACGATCCCTTACACTGGACCGCACTCGCCAGTCGGATCCTCCGTCACGTCCACGACCCTGATGGATCTTTCACGTACGTGGGTACCGGTGGGTGGAAAGTAACACAAGTGTACAGTGGTGTGAGCATTGGTGTCTTGAATTACCACTGTTTTGGAACATCAAGGGGTTGCATTGTTCCTCGTTTGAGATCTTCTTGCTTGTATTCTTCTCGATCAGTAGCCCTGTCGCAGGGTCCAGGGCCCAGGGATGGTGTGCGTGTTTTTGCTCAATCCTTTGAAGAGAAAAATAATGGAAGAACGACCAAAGGAACAAGAACACCAAGTCGTTGTTACGATGTATTTTTCGTTGAAGCAACTGTTGAAGCATGTTGCTGTGGTTTTCAGTGCCCTATGATTTTTCCGATACACCGGTGTAAGGGGGGGGGGTGTTCCGGCATGTTTTTCTCCACCACATATTGGTTGGGCCCCCACCATCTTTGTCCCCGAGGTGTGGAGCTCGACAAGGCGGTGATGGCGCCCCGGTCTTGACGGACCGGTGTTTTTGGGGGTGGCACGGAGAAGCTTATTGTTGTTTGTGTGTGTTTGGGTGATTTTGTGTCCGAGGTCTTTTGTCTGAGGTTTTTTGCTGTGAGGACCTTCAAGTCGGCATGGATCTAAACGGAGCCACCACTGGCAGATGGTTTTTCGTGAGAGCCCAGTATACGTTCATGATCTGCCAGCCGCCAGCCATAACTACCTGGGCCGTGAAATGGGAAGACTCGTTCACTTACCAATCTCCACAGCCCATAGGTCGGTCGACCGTGCGACAGTCCGGACTGACCGGCCGTGGGTGGCCGGTGGGTCTGGTGCCAGTTTCCCCACAGCCGCTGTGAAAACTTCCAACCCTGACCCCGACATGTCATGTTGACCGCTCAGTTGGGGTTGTTTGTCCGGGGGTTGCATGTAGGTGAAGATTCCAGTCTCATGGGTCCTGTGGGAGAGACTGGACGTCACCGCTCAGGTGGGTGACACCTTAAACACCGATATCGAGCTCGCCGTCCGGAGTGGCATGCGCTCCTTGTTGGTTCTAAGCGCCTTGGAGAGCATGCTGAAAGGCACGTGGACTTGGGGTGGTTGGGGAGAGCAGCTGAAAGTCGCTTCCCAGATGTGACTTGGCATGACTTGTTGGTTTTTGCAGGCGTTTCTTTGATACTTATTGGAGCGATTTCAGTGCGTGTTTGCCGGCACTGGTTGAGGAGAGCTGTTGAAGCCCACCAGTCTCGCATGCGGGTAACCAGTGAACAGCCATGCTTCACTACTTGCAGTTTCAAACGTCGGTCGACAGCTAAAGGTAGATACAGACTTGGTACACTGCGTGGTGGGGCAAAATAGGGCGAATGTGAGTTTAGTTGAGTGACCTGAAGTACCAGAGCAGCTCTTGATTGAGCTGTGAGCCGTCTGCCAGCAATGGGAGTGCTTCAAACATTCCCAAACCAAAATGACCTACTTTGAGGTACCTCCTGCAGATTAACGTGGACCCTGAAACTACCTAGTCTTGCAAGGGTCTATGTTCATGGCCCATGTTCTTTTGCAGAGAACACTGCAGAGAAATAATGGCGGGATATATAATCCGTCAATCACGTGATGCCTTTTGACATTTTTTGACTATGCATCAGGCCCCACATGCGAATCACGGTTGTTGATGAGAGGATAAGCACGTTGTTCCACCGCTCCTGCGTACCACCCACCAGTGATGTCCAACAGGGAGCTGGATGCAACATTATCCATGATGGGAGGCAACCATCCTTAGGTAATACACTACCCAGACACTCCATGGGACTGGCATATTAACCATACATTCACCCAGGTCAACCACCCCAATGTATGCAGTATTTTCCATACATCAAGTGAGCCTAGGACCGTGAGTCTAGGACCTTCGGCCTTTCGAGTACACCGAAGAGTAACATGGGACCTGAGAATGGACCAGACTGGAAGACTAGTTGCCTCTACAACCCAGTGGTATTGGGGTTCCATCAGAAGAAGTTCAGGGGAGTAGTGCCCGGCCTCACCAGGATCCACCCACACGAACCAACATCAAATGTGGTCCACTCACCCAGTTTCCAGACTGGGACATAGACATGGACTCCTCAAAGCACCCCAAGTAATTTGTAAACAGGCCAGCCCCATGGATGGAGCTCGGTTTTTGGACATTTGCAGCCCACTCCCAGAGCGATTTGATCCTACCCAGCTGGCGCTTTTTTGCAGAGGATGCGGAGAATTGGAAAAGCCTTGGTCATAGGTCCTTAATAGCAAAGTATATGCATCATACATCATATTTATGAGGCTTACGCCTGACAGCCGGGCGCCGGCCTATTTGGGTTTGGGTATGTGCAGGGCTGGGTCCTGTCTCTCTCTCTTTGTCTCTCTCTCTCTCTCCCTTTCTCTTTCTCTTTCTCTTTCTCTTTCTCTTTCTCTTTCTCTTTCTCTCTCTCTCTCTCTCTTTGAGACTTGGTGGAGCTATCTGGTGCGCATCTTGGCCCTAGGTTGGGCCAAGTTGAGCCCATGTGGTCTATGTTGGGCACATCTTGGGCCCAAGTTGAGCCTATGTTGGGCCTAGGTCGGCCTATGTTAGGCCTATGTTGGCCTAGGTTGGGCCTATGTTGGCGTATGTTGGCCCCATGTTGGCATATGTTGGCCCTATGTTGAGCCATCTTGGAGGCTATGTTGGGCATATGTTGGCTATCTTGGGCCTATGTTGGGGAGATGTTAGGCAACTTCTGTGCCCAACACCCACGAAATGTCGATTAAGCCTGTCCGCGCGGCGCGCATAACTGACACCACGGGCACCCTGTCGTGGACGCCGAAGGCCACGAAGCACGGTAAAAAAACGATGTTTTTGAACATTTTTCGAACATCCAGCGCAAGATACATAAAAATCTGTCGACCGGATTTGGGCAGGGGTTGGTCGGAGGTATACCGGGGGTCCAACAAAGGGGTCGGCGGCAGGGGCGGCGAGCGTATATAACCTTCGGTTACCACCGAAGGCCTCCGGCAAGGACACGGGCCCGTGGCCGGCGCCCGGATTTATGAGGCTTACGCCTGACAGCCGGGCGCCGGCCAATTTGGGTTAGAGTCCGCGCACTGGATCCTCTCTCCCTCTCCCTCTCCCTCTCTCTCTCTCTCGCTGTCGGTCTCTGTCTCTGTCTCTGTCCCTGTCTCTGTCTCTGTCTCTGTCTCTTTCTCTGTCAGTCTCTGTCTCTGTCTTCTCTGTCTCTGTCTCGGTCTTCTCTGTCTCCGTCTTCGCTGTCTTTGCCTCTCTCTCTCTCCCTCTCTCTCGCTTTCGCTTTCCCTCTCCCTCTCTCTCACTCTCTCTCTTTCCCTCTCCTATTGAGCAAAGTTAAGCTATCTGGTGCGCATCTTGGCCCCAGGTTGGGCCAAGTTGAGCCCATGTGGTCTATGTTGGGCGCATCTTGGGCCCATGTTGAGCCTATGTTGGGCCTAGGTCGGCCTATGTTAGGCCTATGTTGGCCTAGGTTGGGCCTATGTTGGGCCTATGTTGGCGTATGTTGGCCCCATGTTGGTCTATGTTGGCCCTATGTTGAGCCATCTTGGAGGCTATGTTGGACATATGTTGGGGATATGTTGGCTATCTTGGGCCTATGTTAGGGATATGTAAGGCAACTCATGTGCCCAACACCCACGAAATGTCGATTAAGCCTGTCCGCGCGGCACGCAAAACCGACACCACGGGCACCCTGTCGTGGACGCCGAAGGCCACGAAACACTGTAAAAAACGATGTTTTTGAACATTTTTCGAACATCCAGCGCAAGATACATATAAATCTGTCGGGCGGATTCGGGCGGGGGTCGGGCGGGGGTATCCCCGCGGTCCAACAAAAGGGTCGGCGGCAGGGGCGGCGAGCGTATATAACCTTCGGTTACCAACCGAAGGCCTCCGGCAAGGACACGGGCCCGTGGCCGGCGCCCGGATTTAAGAGGCTTACGCCTGACAGCCGGGCGCCGGCCAAGCAGGGAGAGGGTGTGTTTAGAGAGAAGGAGAGAGACAGAGAACTCAACCGTAAGATCCAAAAAAGCTGCGTAAATTGGGTGTGTGTGGGGATGGGTTCTCTTTCTCTTTCTCTCGCGCTGTCACTTGGTCTTTGTCTTTTTTATTCTCTCTCTCTCCCTTTTCTCTCGTTGTCTGTGTCTGTCTCTGTCTCCGTCTTGGTATCTCTCTCTGTCTCTCTCTCTGTCTTTCTGTATCACTTTCTTTCACTTTCTTTGTCTCTCTCTCTCTCTCTCTCGTGGTCCTTGCTTTTCCCTTCTCTGTTTGCCCCTGTCTCCGTCTCTGTCTCGGTCGCGGCATTTGTCGGCAGCTGTCGATGTCTCTGTCCCTATGTGGGCAAGCAAGAGTGAGGAAAGCGTATAGGAGCACTGAAGGCGAAACGCAGTTGGCCGACTGAGAGCTGGTGGCTCTCGGAGAGAAAAACTGGAGCAGCTAGACAAAGCCTGTTGCTCTACGCTGGTCAAAGAGCCAACTATGGATTTTGGAGGGATTCACAGTTGTCCCGAGATTGGATTTGATCGGCGGGCGGTAGACAACGTCCGCTATTGGGTCGAGAAGCGCGACGAAGAGCTGGTCGGACCTAGACTGCGAGAGGCAGCTTTTGGTACACAGAAAGAAAAACAAGAGTTGTTAGAAAGAGCACAAGCAGAACCGAAGCGAATTGGGATGACTGGGATGGCGACGCAGAGGTTCGCCTTGTGGAACTCAAGACTGACCCGATCCTTCTCGAAAGTGGGAAAGTCTTCAATCGGTGGGGGGCCGAACAACCCCCCCCCGGTGCAAGACGGGGACCGGGACTTCGGGCATCCCGGTAGCATCCTTTTCGAGAAGGGGGCTGACCGTCCCGGGAGCGTCCTTCTCGAGAAGGGGGCTGACCGCCCGGGCGTATACCTGCTATACGCCGAAGTCGGGAGAGCCGTCTTGCACATGTCCTGCCATCCCGTCTCTCTCTCTCTCTCTCTGTCTCTCTCTCTCTCTCTCCTCTCTCCCTCCGCTCTCTCTGTCTGTCTCTGTCTCTGTAGTCTCTGTCTCTGTCTTCTCTGTAGTCACTGTCTCTGTCTTCGCTGTCTCTCTTTCTCTCTCTCTCTCGCTGTCTCCCTTTCTCTCTCTCTCTCTCTGTCTCTCTCTCTCTCTCTCTCTCTCTCGCTGTCTCCCTCTCTCTCTCTCTCTTTTTGAGACTGTGTGAGGCCTATGTTGCCACATCTTGAGGCAGCCTGGGCCCAGTTAAGACTGTGTGAGGCCTGTTGCCACATCTTGAGGCAATCTGGGCCCGCCTAGGGGCTATGTTTCCCATATGTGAGACCTAGGTCGGGTCATCTTGCGGCTATGTGTACCATAGGCTGGGACTAGGTGAGGTCCTCTTGAAGGCCTCTTTCAGATCATCTCGGAGCACATGTTCCGCCTTTGCTGTTGACGTGTGCCCAACGCCCACGAAATGTCGATTAAGCTTGAGCAAAGTTAAGCTATCTGGTGCGCATCTTGGCCCTCGGTTGGGCCAAGTTGCGCCCACGTGGTCTATGTTGGGCACATCTTGGGCCCAAGTTGAGCCTATGTTGGGCCTAGGTCGGCCTATGTTAGGCCTATGTTGGCCTAGGTTGGGCCTATGTTCGGCCTATGTTGGCGTATGTTGGCCCCATGTTGGCCCTATGTTGAGCCATCTTGGGGGCTATGTTGGGCATATGTTGGGGATATGTTGGCTATGTTGGAGATATGTTAGGAAACTTATGTGCCCAACACCAACGAAATGTCGATTAAGCCTGTCCGCGCGGCACGCATAACCGACACCACGGGCGCCCAGTCGTGGACGCCGAAGGCCACGAAACACTGTAAAAAACGATGTTTTTGAACCTTTTTCGAACATCCTGCACAAGAACATAAAAATTACACAAAAATCTGTCGACACGCTTCGGGCGGGGGTATACACGCGGTCCAACAAAAGGGTCGGCGGCAGGGGCGGCCAGCGTATATAACCTTCGGTTACCACCGAAGGCCTCCGGCAAGGACACGGGCCCGTGGCCGGCGCCC